TCCCGGCCCCTGACGTTTGCTGTGGTTTCAGTCCCTGGCACCGAGGGCTGGGTTCAGAGACTCCCAGCTGCACTCACTGAACAGTGAATTTTTTTTTTTTTTCCCTCCCTGAATTCTTTAGCTGCCAAAAGGGGGGAAAAATCAAGAGCTGCTCTTAAAAGAAGTTGCCCTTGCTGGTGCTCAGGGTAAAAATAGAGGCGGCCGCTCAGAACGGCTTGGCCCTGACTCCAGGCGTCCCGCGAGCTGGGCTCGAGCAGCGGCCGCGTTCCGGCGTGATCCCAGGAAGCCGCCAGCAGGTGTTGCTCAAGGTACAGTAGCAGGGCCGAGAAGCCGGGGCCGAGGGCCTGGGGTGTGGGGAAGCTCTGGGGGAGGGGGCAGGAAGTGAAAGAGAAACCAAACCGAGGCAGGAGAAGGAGATTCTTGTCAAGACTGGGCTGACCAGCTTTCTGCCCTGGGCCCTTGAGTTGGGAAGGGAAATCTCATTCCCAGTGCAGAATATTCCAAAGGAGCTATTTTAACCTGCCTGCTTCCTCTACCACCCCCACCTTGATTTCCACTGAGTGAGGAGGCATTTCCACTGGGCTCAGCTCCAAGGTGGGGGTCCGGGTGGAGAGGTCCATCTCGGCTGGTGGGCTGGCCTGGCAGGTGGGCACTTCGGTGGCATCGGATGGCCAATGCAGTTGCAGAGACAGAGTCAGTCTTGTGGGGTGGCTCCTCTGGTCAGAGTGCTGCAGATTCCTGTGACACAAATGTTTAGAAAGAGCCACCAGGCTTCTCAGACATAATATCACCTATTCTTTTCGGATCACTGCATTTGACCCCACAGGCTAAAATTACAGATCCCATTTTGTAGATGGGAACACTGAGGGCTGAGTTTACGTGGTCAGTGAGCAGGGGAATTGGGGTCTGATGTGGGTGGGACATGGTGGCCATGTGTGGGACAGGGGGTGAGTTTAGATGCCCTGAAGGCCATTGCTCTCTGCTGATTCTCAGCAAAAAGGGTTTGAGTTCAGCCCATGCTAAACTGAGGGGGCAGGTTTGGAGTTCACCATCACTGATCCTATTTCTGTCTTTACCACTTAGATTTCCTCTCTTCCTCTACAACCTAATGATTTTATTTCCTACTTCATTTCTGCATATGCAGTTCTTGGAATACTCCTCTCCCTCCCCCATATGCAGCTCAGCACCCACACTTTCTCTGTGTCTAGCCAAGAGAGACCCTCTTCCACAGAAAACTTCTGGTGTCCTAATAGAACCTGCTTAAACCACACATCAGGAGGCCAGAACCTCTATATTTTGCTTGTGGGCACAGTGAAAAGTTTATTTTATGCATGTTCAATCCTGCATACAAAACAACATATCTGGTCATATGGCTCTCATTAGCTCCCAATTTTGCACATTTTATCCAACTTGTCATGAGAACACAGCTTATGCTTCAACTATACTCCTTCGAACAATCCCGCACCATTCTTGTCTGAGGATTCCTTCCCTCTGTCTCCTGTACCGGACTTGCCAGTACTCCCCCCACCCCGAAAAAAACACCTGATCAACTTTATCCCTACTTCAAGGAGTGTTCACTTCTTTTCGTTAATCTCCTGTTATATTTGTAGCAATTTAGAAATCACAGGACTTGAAACTCTTGTAAAGAAGAATGTGCATGAGGTTTTTTTTGTTGTTGTTGTCATGTCGTTTGTTTGTCTCTTTTTGCTAGTTATGATGGGATTCTAAAGACCTGGGAAGGATACTTATGAAGTTCACTTGCAGAGAATGACTGTTTTCAAAGTTCTTGGTGATAAATGATTTATGAAGCAGGCATTCAATTTCGAGATGTAAAATAATATTGTAAGTCAGGAGAGGGCAGACCATCATCCTGTGGTTATATAGATTTTCCTATTTTTTTCTCAATGAAATAGCTTATTTAAAAAAATAAAATTAGAATCCCTGTAAAAAAAAACACTACAACTTTCTTCCCTGTAAGAAACAATAAAATACTTTGTAAATAGAGGCAACTTCGTGAAGTAACAGATGTTTTATGTAAAGACATAAAACTGAACCTGAATATAACGAGACGTGTGTGTGCGAGTAGTAAAAGAAAAGTTGAAAGTTGGACACACTCATTGAGACATATCTGTTTGATTCCAATATTTTTCTCAAAGGTAGACTAGTCACAGCCAGAGGTTTCACTGGCTCAGTGCATCACCCAGTAGTGTCTCAGAAGCCAGGAAGGGCTTTCCATTAGATAATGAATTATGAAATGTCTCACACTGGAAAAACCAGTCATCCGCTGATGTCATGCTGATTCTAACCAATCCCAAACAAAGCCCCAGCCCTCCTCTGTTGAGTAGTACCAATGTGTGAGTGTACAAATAAGTAGTACAGTATAAAACTTCACAGTGCCAATACCATGAAGAGGAACTCAGACAGCTCTTACCACATGATACAAGAGCCGGCTGGTGAAATAGAGGGGACCAGAAAGGTAATACTTTTTAACTCTTACTTCTGAGCTCTTTACGCGTTCAAAGTAAGGATGGCTAGAAGGAATTTTACAACTAATTGGCACTTTCATGCGCATTGTAATTTGTACCTTTTTATATTATTCAGGCAGGTTAATACAGTTTTTAATAGTCCTAGAGAGCATGCAAATAGATTGTGTGTTTATACAACCCACTCAGCACATATATACAAGTACATATGCCAAAGAGAAAGCTATTTTTAAGAGTTACATTCGCAAACAGTAAATTCAGGGAACACACACATACTCACATGCAGAGAGAATCCAAATATTGATAAGTTGCACTTATCTAAATGCTACCATTAGGACTGTTGAGTTGTTTGGAGTCATTAAACTTTTAGTTCTATTTCAGACTCTCTTGTAAAACTTAATTGGACTACAAGATGCTTTGGGTACTGTATATGTGACTCCAAATAGGTGGATGATGTTAAGTATTATAGTACAAAGATGTTTTATTAAACCATTATAACACAAATGCCCCCGCCTCCCCCATTCTCTTTCACCTCCCCCCACTAAAATTAGGAGGCTTTTTAGGCAATGTTGACAAAGTTTTAACAATAATAGCAGAGTAATTGATGTTCCTGGAGCTGAAATCCCAAAGGTGTTAGGTGACTTAGAGAGAGTCTTGCAAATCGTTGTTTTGGAAAAGGATACAGTGTATACAATTCAGAAAAGCATTGTTACCTGTGCAAACTGTAATTTTAACTTAGTGTCATAATTTTCTTGCCCTCTTCCCTTTGCACCTTCTGCTTGTAGTAATGATACTTGTTAACTCTTTCCACCCAAACTGCATTGCTTGACTATAATGCTCTGAACACACTAGGTGTCAGATATAAGCTGACTCTATCTTCAGAAACCAAGAGGGCTTGCTTATGTGTGGGAAAGAAACCGAGAGGGAACGCAAGCTTTGACAGATGGACCCCTTAAAGATACTTCTGCAAGATAAAAGCAATAAGACAGAAAATGAAAAAAAAGGGGGAGGAGGGGAGAATTAAAAAAAAAAAAAGCCTCAGAAGGCATTGTTTAAAAATTCACATTTTTCTTTTTCTGTGAACACTAAAATCCATGATGATTTCATCTGTGCTGTTCCTTTGAGGGAAACAGAAGCAGGCAGGGAGGCTGTCCGTAACTGCGCTGTTCTGGACAGGATGGGGGGCAAGCTGAAAAAACTGCCACATGACAGCGAAAAATAATTTGCCAGTATATATTAGAGATTCTTTTCCCCTGGGACCCATTATTCAAGGCATAAGAGTGCACTCTTTTTTATAAAAGAATGTGGGAAAGGCCAAGTGAATTTTGCATTTTTATCTCTGAACTCGGGGCAAGCAGTGGTAGGCTGAAATGTGTGAGAGAGAGTGTGTCCCGGGCAGAAGGGGGCGGCTGAAGGGGACACGGGGAGAGCGCTTCCTACCACTTGAGCATGTGACACGTTGCCTGCGCTTAGGGTCTTTCACTGCCAGGCTGCATTTTGAAGTTGGGAAAAGTAGAGTGTGTTATCTGACCCCGGACAAAAGTTCCATTGAGCTCTCTCAGATCTCCCGCCAGTTTTGACGACCCTGGGCATTTAAATATGAATGAATGAGGAAAAGGAGCATCTCCTCTGTACCCCACTGGGCCAGAACAATCACCTCCGGGCAGAGCAGCTCCGGTGCCTTGGGGTCCCTCTCCCCCGACCTCGCTACCTGCCGGCTGGACCTCCCAGCGCCCCCAGCCCCACCTCCCGGCCAGGTGGGCATTCTGTCACCTAGGGCTGTGGCCAGGTTGGGTGGAGGGGTGCCGGGGGGCAGAGTTTTTCAATCCAGTCATCCTGGTTGATTGAGATACTGTGTTTGTTTGCGTTTTTTCCCCCTCCTTCCAAAAAAGGAAGAAGGTGAAGCCAGGAGACTGGGCAGAGAAAGAAAAAAAAAAGAAGTGAACAAAATTAAGAGAATTTATTTTAGAAGGGAAAGTAGAACCCCCGAGAATGGTGGTATTTGAAGAGAGGTGTCTGCGAGGAAGCTACGAGCAGGAGAGAGCAGCCTGTCAGAAACGGGCTGTCCCTCCCCTCCCCATCACAGGCTTTACTCACAGACAAACTCCCTCCCTCTCCATTCACTCACTCACTCAGGGCCAATCCGTTCCCTCTCTCTCTCTCTCTCTCTCCTCTCTCTCCTCTCTCTCTTTCTCCCCCTCTCTCCCTCTCTCCCCCTCTCTCCCTCTCTCTCTCCCTCCCCCCTTTTTCCCTCTCTTCTCTCCCCCTCTCTCCTCTCTCCCTGTCTCTCTCTCCCTCCTATCCTCTCTCTGTCTCTGTCTGTCTCCCCCCACCCTGTCTCTCCCTCCCTCCCTCCCTCCCTCTCTCCCTCCCTCCCTCCCTCCTTCCTTCTCTCTTACTCGGAGACAGTCAGAACTCTCCTCCCTGACAGCCACAAACCTACAGCACTGACTGCATTCAGAGAGGGAACCTGCAAACAAAACTTCACAGAAAACTTTTTGTTCTTGTTCCAGAGAATTTGCTGAAGAGGAAAAGGAAAAAAAAAAAAAAAAAAAAAAACCTGTGCGTGAGGGGGGAGGAAACACAGGGCCTTTTAAAAAGGCCATCACAACAACTTCTGCTGCCAGGATGCCCCTGCTTTGGCTGAGAGGATTTCTGTTGGCAAGTTGCTGGATTATAGTGAGGAGTTCCCCCACCCCAGGATCTGAGGGGCACAGCGCAGCCCCCGACTGTCCGTCCTGTGCGCTGGCCACCCTCCCAAAGGATGTACCCAACTCTCAGCCAGAGATGGTGGAAGCCGTCAAGAAGCACATTTTAAACATGCTGCACTTGAAGAAGAGACCCGATGTCACCCAGCCGGTGCCCAAGGCGGCGCTTCTGAACGCGATCAGAAAGCTTCATGTGGGCAAAGTGGGAGAGAACGGGTATGTGGAGATAGAGGATGACATTGGAAGGAGGGCAGAAATGAATGAACTTATGGAGCAGACCTCGGAGATCATCACGTTTGCGGAATCAGGTTGGTGCTGGCATTTAC